TTTTTTTTATTGCGTGACAGTGAAAACGATCTGAACCGTTCGAAGAACAAAACAGCAACTGTGGAATACTTTTTTGTAAAATGATAAAACATGTTTTTTAGTTCATAATTTTTGTACATGTTCTCACTTTCCTCTGATATAGATTCATGCCAGTCCTTATTTTTTGATCGGGATCATTTGCGGTCCAATATGGGGATCATTTCCGGTCCGGGATCATTTGCGGTTCAATTTGGGGATCATTTGCGGACCCGTACACTGCTGCGTATTTTCGTCAGTTCTAAGGGAGTCCATTTGTTGGACCTTTCACAGGCATTGTTGCTTCCGTGACACTTCAGTTGACGCTTGCAAATATAATTCAGTCATTCCGTGCAAAAATTAACTTTTTTCTTGTTGAAAGATGCTATACTGAACTGTCAAATAACCAGGCTAAACAACCTGTCCTTTTCCAGCAAGACAGCTTATTGCTCTGAAGTACAGTAGGCATGTTTTTCTTCAGTTACGCTTCAGTTGACGCTTTCGTAGATATTTCAGTTCGTGTACAGCACTACTTCCTTCTTGCTCGTTGATGCTATACTGAACGGCTAAATATCCAGATTTAACCACTTTTCCTTCATCCCTGCACACCACGAGAGGTCCGCACTTGTAACTTTGTGGTTTTCAGTGGATAAAGTGAATCTGTGCTCTTCATTCTAAATAAGTTACTGCAGTGAAACTCGTCGCCAAAAGGTTGTTGCGGTTTCTTTTTTTTTTTTTTGTGGCAACTGTTTGTTTTACTAACTTCCTTCAAAAATGTTGTATCGCTTTGTTTTTGTTTCGGTTGCGAACAGTGTCTGCCATTTTTTCATCGTTTTAAATAGCACTGAGGCAGGCAGTCAGCCATGTTGGTCTGAAAGTTAGAACATCGTGACTTGCTTCGTTGATTAATTTATCTTTAAAAGCAAAAGGACACCACCTTTGCTAAACGTTCTAATCGAAAAATGCTGTTAAAATTCTAACTTTCTGATTAGAAACAGTTGAGTATTTTAAACTTTTGCCTGGCATGAAAAAAATATACTGATATACTTTTGAACTGAATTACATTTTGCGGCATAAAATCAATGTTAACTGTTGACGCCTTCAAATATTCCGCCAGGCTTCTGGCAGAAAGCTGTACTCGGAGAAGTAATGGTGGAGAGAGAGATGTATGTGAATTTTTTTAATAAACATTGGTTTATGAGTACGAAGTTCTGGCAAGGCCTGCTGCGTAATTTCGTTTCTAAGGGAGTCCATTTATTTGAACTTTCGTAGGCATTGTTTTCTTCCATGAAACTTCAGTTAACGCTTGCAATTATATTTCAGTCATTCCGTGTATAGTTTAACTTTCTTCTTGTTGGATGATGTTATACGGAACAGTCAAATAATCAGGTTAAATAGCTTGTCCTTTTCCAGCAAAACGAACAGATTAGTGCTCTGAGGTAGAATAGGCATGTTTTTCCCCAGTTACGCTTAAGTTGACACCTGCATAGATATTTCATGTCGTTTACGGTTCTGCTTCCTCCTTGCTCAGTGATGCCATACAGAAAACGCCAAATATCCAGACTTAACCGCCTTTCCTTCACTCCTTAGTTTTCACGTCTTAACAAGCCGCAAGAAGTCCATCCTTGTAACTTTTGTGATTTTCAGTGGATACAGTGAATCTGTTCTCTTCCTTTAGGATATTTGGGATAAGTTACTGCAGTGAAACACATCTCTAAAAGGTTAGTGCGTTTGTTTTTCACAACTAGTACTCGTTTTACTAATGTTCGTTATAACATAACTGAAGCAAAGCGCGCGCTCTGATTGGTTAATTCAGCGTCTACTATTTGCCCCTGGGTGCACGCTGCTGACGTGTGTGCTAACGTTTACAAAGCAAATCTTTTGACAGACATTGTTTCCAAAGTAATGGCCAACGTCCTTCTGCCAGAAATGCGAAACTGTCTTCACAGTTGTCTGAAGATGAAACTTTATCGAGTTACTGGTGTGCAGTCGGTTGTCATGAA